CGAGGGCGGGCCGGTGGCCGACGCTGAGCGGGGTCCCCGGGCTCGGGACGCGGTCGTCCGCTCGGCTCTCCTCCTTGGGGGTGGGGGTGGGGGCTCAGTCTAACAAAGCCCCGGCCGAGAGGGGTGAAGGAAGGAGAGGGGTGCTGGGACCGATGTTTCTTGGGGGCCCCAGTCCCTGACTCTGTGCCAAGGCCAGCGCCCGCGGATTGCTCCCATTCCCGCTCGCACAAGGGCAGTGGGGCTGCCGAGATCCTGAACACGGCGTCCGCCTTGCTTTTCCTGCTGGAGCATCGAGAGGGTCCGCTTCTCAGTCGGGCTCGGAGCCCGAGTTTCCCTGCCGGGAAAGGCAGGGGCCAGGTTTTCCACCCTCCGTACTGTGCGGCCCCAGAGAATCCTCTTTTGCGCTCCCGAATCCGGACGCTACCCGGAGAAAACCCAGGCGAAACAGGTAGCCAGACCTTGCGCCCAACAGTGCGGTGCTGGGGCTCCGCAAAGGTCCCCTACTCCCTCCGTGCACCCCAACTCCACCGACCCTCTCCGCCCGCCAGGCGCACAATGCACCGACACCCTTCCCGGTCCCTCTCGCACTTCGCAGGGTTGCTCCTGGGCTGCCGCGGCCCCCGGCCCTCCCCGCCTCCCCGCAGCCCCATCCCTGCCCTGGGGTACTTGCTCGGAGATCTGGGCCAGCGGGATCGAGATCTCAGCGGGATGGCAGCGGCCCCGCGCTGCTCCGAGTTCCCGATCCGTGGTTGGGATTCTGGCGAGAGGTACGGAGTGCCCGAATTTGGACGGAGCTTGGACCTGGGCGGTGGGCGCAGCCAGGCTGGGCGAGCCCAGGGTCCGAGTGGCAGTGCCTACTCCCGCCGCGGCTCCGGAGGAAAACAATGCGACCGCCCGGAGCTCTGGGCCCGGCCCTAGCCGCCCCGCCCGCCTCCCGGCCAGGCCCACCTCCAGCCCGCCTCCGAGTCCCTGCAGCTAATCCCGCCTTGGAAGGCTAGATAGGCTCCGCCTTCCCCGCACCTCCTCTCCAATAGCACAGCTCGGGGGCGGGGCGCAGGAGCACCGCCCACTAAGAGGGCCGGGCTGGGAGGATGAACCCGAGACCAGAGACAAGCTAGAGGAGAGAAATCCACTGAGGGTCACTTAGAGCCGGACAGAGGCGGAGACACACACAGAAGCAGAGGTTGACAGAGGAGGGGTCACATATGGATTAACTAGGAAAATCCATGGGGACAAATCTCACAGCGAAAGAGGAAGGAAGAGAAGTGGGGAGGGGAGACAGACAGGAAACCTGGGAGGGGAGGAGGAAGCTCTGTTGGGCTGGGCTGGGCACGACCCTCCCTCCTTTCACCTCCCCAAGGAGTGTGGCGACCCACCTCTCAGGGTAGTCTCCCTGCTCTCCCCGACTCGGCTCCAACCATTTGCGTCTCCTTTACCCTCTTTTCTACCACAACCCCCTTATTTCTTGTTCCCCTCTGCCTTCTCTGGGTCATCATGCCCCGAAAAGGAGGCCTGATTTGCAGCTGAGGACTTGAGGTTTGGGAAGAGAAAGGAAAAGGTCCTCCGTCCTCTCAAAGCATTATAAGCTGGGGCCACAGGCCAGGAACTAAAGAGCCAGGGAGTCCGTGTGGCTGGTGGACAGGCGGTGGCTGTGACTGAGCGGGGCAGGTGAGAAGGACTGAAGCCAAGAGAGACGTGAACACTGAGACAACCTGACTCAAAAAATCACACGGAACAAGGAGCAACATGGAGACCTAAAAGCAAGAGAGAAAGTGAGCAACTGCTCTAAGCCCTTGTGGCCTTTCTGCTCTATAAGCAAAGGATTGGTGATGACCCAACTCCCCTCAGGGCCCTAGGCATCCCTTCAGACAGCAAAATGGTTCTCTCTCCATCTCTACCCTCCATAAAGACCCTTTGGTTCCTGGAATGCCACTGTGGAGGAAGAATGAGACCGCTTCAAACAGCACGGCTTGGCTCCCACCTTAGTGGTGCCTGCTAAGATTCTTCCCTGCGTGGGGCTGGGACAAAAGGCATTTGTGAAATTCTCAGGAAAGTGGGTGGCCTGAAAGACATTGACATTCTTAATTTTATCTGAGTGGGCCCCCCCACTCCGACACACACCATATACTGGTCTCTAAACTTCAGGAAAGGAAGGGAAGGGATTGGACAGTTCTAGAACAGTTATAACTGGACTGGGCTCATTAGGTTAGGGTGCATTACCAATTGGTGAACAAGCAAAGCACAAACAGAAAAGCGGACACATAAGTACGTGAACTAATGAAATAAAGAGAGTAAGGGGAAAAATGGGATGATATCTATGCAAGACTAACCATCAAGGGATCTTGGTCCAAGACAATTCAGTGGATAGGTGAAAGGCTGTTTTAAAGACGGAGAGTTTAGGGGAGAAAGACACCTCAAAATACAAGGCATCCAGAGGTTGAAAAAAGTTTCCCCAGTTTCTAGCCCAGGTCCTAGAAAGTAATAGGTGTATTAAACATGTGCTTATTGAATTGTTTAGGGAGTGTTGATTAAGGTTCATGTAAAGTTTTAAGGTCTAGGTTAAATCTCAAACATTATACATTTACTTCAGACCCAATGCACTGTTGGATGGGGTCCCAATCTTTAAGAAAATGGACCACCTATTTTAATTAAGAGGTGGCCCAAGGATCTACCTATAACTTCCTCCCTGGGGGATGGACAACAGAAAAGTGGGTGAAGGGAGATGTCGGACAGTGTAAGATATGACAAAGTAATAATAATTTATAAATTATCAAGGGTTCATGGGGGAGGGGGGTGTGGGGAGGGAGGGGGGGAAATGAGGAGCTGATATTAAGGACTCAAGTAGAAAACAAATGTTTTGAGAATGATGATGGCAACAAATGTACAAATGTGCTTGACACAATGGATGGATAGATGGATTGTGATAAGAATTGTGCACGCCCCCAATAAAATGATTAATAAATAAATACTACAAACATTTTAAAAAAAGAGGTAGCCTACTGGCACTATCAGTTAAGCATTGTACTGCTAATTTCAAGGTTGGCAGTTCCAACCCACCAGTTGCTCCCTGGGAGAAGGATAAAGCTCGCTGCTCTCATATTGATTGGCAGGCTCGGAAACCCAATACAGGGTTGTTATGAATTAAAATTGACTAGGTATTAGTTGGTATTTGAATTAAAACATGATTAAAAAGCAATGCCAAATAAAAACAAGTCAAAATGTACATGAAACATAAATGCCCATGCATTAGGAAAAGACAGTTAATCCTCTCCTTGCTGGAGACAGGTACCAGGGAGCACAGGAGAACTTTGGCGGGAACTGGCCTGGTGCAAAGGAAGGGAGGAAATGTTCCAAAGAGGCTATAACTTCAGTAAAGCTTCTCTATTTGGTGAGTATGGAGCCCAGGGCAAAAGGTCCTAGAAGGTTAAAATGTAGAAAAGGCACTAGTTGGAAGCAGAGGAAAGGAGAAGAGGGAAGTCAAGGGGGAGATCTGAATGACCAGGGTTAGTAGGTTAAAATAAGATGGTAGGAAAAGAATGTCATAAGTCCTTGAAGGGTGTAACTTGTCAAAATTAGTATTTCTACACAAGAATAAAAGGGAGAGGACAACCAGACAAGAATGGTGACATTGGGTAGGAAAAGAAAGGGGTGAATCTGAGGGCGATTTCAACAGACAAATAAAAATGACTCAGTTCCAAAAAGATAAATAAAATGACTTGGTCCCTACTTCCCAGGAATTCTGGAGAAAATCACAGTCCCACTGAGTGGAACCTTTACAGATTCAGGGTCTACAAGCTGGGAAAATTACCCTCTCCCAACCTCTGAAGTTCCTTACCTCACAACCTGCATGCTCCTCTCAGCTGAGTCCACAGGCATCTTTGGAGTAAAGAGAGGAATGCCCAATTGTTTCCCCAGATAGGTGCACTTACTTGCAGCTTGACCCGTCTTGTCTCAGCAGATGAGGTATTTCCAGCCCTCTCCAGGCTTCAGCTTCCCACTTGACCATGAGCTCTGTGCGCACAGGGTTTGGTCTTGTCTGGCTTGCTCACTACTTTATCCTTTGTATATAGCACAATGCCTGGCATCGATCGGTGTTAACTATTAACACATTAGTCAAGTCTGTACTCTAAATCTCGTACTCAGGGGCTTTCCTCCATGTCTTCAAATTCTCTTTTATTTTAACCTTTCCTTTTTAACGAACATTTCCCTGTCAGCTCAAGTATCATCTGTGAATAAATGAAAATATCCCAGACTTTCCCTTGATTTTTGCCTGTATTCAGCTTCTCTACTTAACTTCTCTCTTCAGTCACAACTAAGCTTTTAGAAAGTCACCTATACTTGCTGTATCCATTTCTCGCCTCATAATTACTTCTCAATCAGTTGCAGTCATCAGGCCACTTAATGACCTCCTGGTCACATTCAATGAACATCTCTTCACTCTTTATCCTTTGCCCTCTTTGTCCCCTTTGACCCTATTGACCCCCTCCCTCCTTGAAATGTTCTTCTGCGTCCTGGGGTCCTACTTTCTTCTTGGCAGAGACTTTTAATTAATGAATGCCTTCATTTCTTTCGATATGGCCTCTCTTAGCTTTCTCTGACCTGTCTC